ACCATGTTAAACTACTGCCTCTCCTGAGGGACCTGAGCTTTTGAGTCTCAGCTACAGCATGTGGCATTGGGCTGCTCTTGGTCGCCTTCTGTAAGGAGTGTGGGGGAGAGGACTTTCAGGCAGTGATCTGTGCTTGGTACAGCTTCTCTGGGGGTTTGGCAGGATTAACCCTTTGGAGGTTAGGAGGAAACATCAGGACTCACTGATTGAAGGAGGTTCTCCTATGTCTTCACTCTGGGTCCTCCACGTTCAGCCACCGCTCTTCAGACTTGCCCGAGAATCCTTTGTGTCAGCTCATATAGCACTTGAAGGAGATAGCAGCATCCCTGGCCTTTGAGTACAGCCTGCGGTGAGAGGCTCAGCAGATCTGCTCTGGCTAGGAAATGGGAGCAGGCAGACTCATGACTCCTTTGTAAAACTACTGCCAGCCTCCTGTCTGGCCTCAGACTGAGAACTGCCAGCATCAGTGAATCCTCTGCTTGGGAGAATAGCATTGAGGGGAGTTTGAGATACTGAGTAAGGGCAATGACCGTTCTGTGCAGGAGCCAGATCAGCAATTCACCGGGGACGGCCTGCGAGTCTGGAGAGCTGTTTTCTGCAGAGGCTGGAATAGCAGGGGGGGATTCAGGTCAGGATGGAGGGGCACTGGCAGAGGGGTGGTGGTGGTGAGCTAGGGGCTGGAGTACTATAGATCAGGAAAGGGGGGTATTGATGGAGCTGCATGTGGGAAGCCAGGTGCTGAAACAGTTGGGAGTGTTATTTGCAGCCTGTAGGTGTGGGGTGGACCAGAGCTCCGGCCAGTCTTTCCTCTTATCTCCTGGGTCCAGCCCTAATTGCTCTTCCATGGAGCCAGGCACCTCAGTGATGGAGGAAAGGAGTGGGGAGGGGTCCTTGCCAGGCTCCACGATCGTTGCTGCCCTGTGGTAAGAGTCCTGGGCAGCAGGACTGTGTCTGGAGTCTGACGCTATCTCCTCCTGTCTGGGAGGCCTTTTCTGCTCTCTGTCTGCCCCTTTGTGCCCTGGGGTCCTCTCAGAGAGCAGAGCCCACCTGCACCACCCAGCACCGAGGCTTCTCTGCAGACTCTGAGGTTCCCACCTCTCTGGTTTCCTGGCGCCCCAGGGCTAATCTGAATCCATGCCTGGGCATAGCTATGGGTATGTCTGGTACCAGGCTGCTGTGTGTGAGCTCCCAACTGTGGTTTGAGCATTGGCCTGCTAAACCCAGGGTTGTGAGTTCAATCCTTGAGGGGGGCCACTTGGGGATCTGGGGCAAAATCAGTACTTGGTCCTGCTAGTGAAGGCAGGGGGCTGGACTCGATGACCTTTCAAGGTCCCTTCCAGTTCTAGGAGATGGGATAACTGCTCCTGAGACTACAGCTTCCTGTCCCACTCAGGGGCAATCCCTGGGGGAGAGAGGGGACGCAGAGCTCCTGGCTACCCCCAGGCCTCGTTAGCAGCCTCTAAGCAATCTGAGGCAAGCCCCTAGCTGCTACCCTGACCCCTCATCATGTCCCTAAGTGATGGGTTTTTGTTGGCTGCCCTGGATCTGGGGCAGGAATGAGCCAGAGGTAGCTAAGAGGGGCTCCTATCATTTCCTCACTTCGTTATTGCTCTAAGTCAGCAGCTCAGTCCCCCTTGCACACAGCAGTTTAAGCAGTGTCGATGTATTGACGAACGGCTCATCTCTCTCATTCCCTTCTTCTCTGGCAGCCTCTGCAGATTGACGACTATTTCTGTGGCCAGGATTTTAACCAGCCGCTGGGCGGGACGGTGACCATCGAGGGGACAGCGCTCTTTGTGGATAAGGAGGATGGCATGACCTCGGTGGCTGCCTATGACTACCGGGGACACACGGTGGTCTTCACCGGCACGCGGAGTGGCAGGATCAAAAAGGTAGGCAGCCTACTGGGCCGGGGGTGAGGAGGCTGGTTGGCTGACTACCTCCTTTGGGGCAGGATTTCAGTGCTGTGTTTTGAGGCGTGAATGGTGTATGCAGGATGGGGAGTGACAGCATCGACGAATGTCAGTTCCCTTCGCTCTTGTCCACCAGGCATATTTATTAAAGCAATTGTTTATGGCAGGATTATAAAATGGGAAAACTCCCAACCCCCTGCTCCCCCGATTCAAGTCCCAGTCAGCAGTGTTAGTGGGAGTTCCCTTCGCACAGTCTCTCCTAGGGCTGGGGTGTTGGATTCACAAGGTATCCTAGTACTGGTGGTTTCCCTCTATACCTTGTGTGCTTTTATCATTGAATTGCTTTGCCACTGACCCGAGAGGGGCTGCGCATGGGTTGTGTATGCGGTGGTGACTGGATGCCTGTGGTGCTTCGTTGGTCTCTGCCCTCTTGCCAGGTGGCAGTGCTGGCACGTGTGAGCTGGCATTTCTTGGGCGGGACGAAGCTCCTTCTCTTGGCTCTTCTTGAGTTCAGAAATCCCTCCTCGCTGTTGGCCTTAAGTCCTGAATTGGGCCCAAATGGTTGAAATAAGCGGGAAAGGCTTGAAATCTTGTCAGGCAGGGTCAGTCCTCCAGGGCAAATAGCCTTTGGCCCAGGCTGGCCCACTCAGAAGATCAGCAGGGGGAGAGCTTTCATCTTGCCATAGCACCTGTGCTTTAGCTTAGACATTTCCAGGCCTCATCCCTGTCCCATTCGGCTGGGTGATGTGACCCCAGAGGGGGGTGACATGTTTCTTAGACTGCGAGTGTAGAACAGTGAAGTTGCTTCCCCTCTTCCCTGCCTGCATTGCTAGCATCGTTAAGCTCCCATCCCCATGCCGTGCTAGGCCCTGCTGCAGCCTCTGTCTTGGGAAAGCCCTGAGGTGGATGGCACTGCTCCACGGTGGGAGCTGAAGGAATCCGATAAGCTTCTGTAGAAGGGGAGTTTTCTTTGGGGCTGCAGCGTGCTCCAGCCTGGCTGACCTAAGCCATCTGTGGGCAAAATTCCACAATGTGGGGGAGACCTCTCTTCCCCAGCGACACAAAAGGCTTCTTGTTGGTGGCAATTAGCAAATAAGTCTGTGCCTCACGAGGCATGGATTTCCTGTTATCACAACAACATTCCTAAAGTTACAGCTGAATCTTCCCTGTATAAACACAGTGCACATGAACTGCGTCCTCCGCCAGGCAAAGTCATGTTGAGGGTCCTGGTACAGTCCTGCCGGAGGCCTGAAGTGCAGGACTCAGCTGGAGCACCCAGCCCTGTTCATTCCTCCAGAGCCCGGAGAAACAGCCACTTGGGCCTACCCGCTCCCCGGCCCTGGGGATCAATGGCTTGAATGTTGAGCTCCTTTTGCTGTCTTTGTGTCCCAGCTAAAATTCCTCCTTTTCTAAAATGACTCACTGGTATGTAGAAGCAAAGGCAGCTCCTTGGAGATGTGGTGCAGTGGGGGGTGGAAGCACCACGTTTGCCAGCAGGGTGGGGTCCATTGCCATTGGGCCGTGCAATAGTCACCTTGGGAGGCCTGAAGCCATTGGCAGCTGTTTCCTTTCATGAATTGGCAATGTGATAGGTGAGGTGGGGAAGGGTTAAAGGCTAGTGGGGACATTATGCACAAGGAAGGCCAGGTGCTTTTACCTAGGGGTTTGGACTCTCAACGTGCTGCACAAACATGAGATAAGTGTTCTTCTAGCCCCTCTATCTCAGGAGATGGTCCCTGTGTATTCCCCATTTTGCAGATGGGGAAACTGAGAGGCAGTGACTTGCCAAGGTCACTTAGCAGGCCAGTGGCAGAGCCAGGAGCAGCGCTCAGAATTCCTGGCCCCGATCCCTTGCTTTAACCACTAGATCCTGCTGCCTCTCTATCTGCCTGTGTACAGTATGTTGGACTTGATCTGTGTGGGTTTCCTCTGGGCCACTAGTCTGTGATCAGCTGTTTCCACTCTGGTGTGTATGGCACAAATCCCTTCACCCCTATAGAAGTGCTGGAGGAAGCAGACTTTTGCTGAGGTGCTGATTTCTGGTTCACTGGGTCGGAAATGCAGTGATTGGCCCAAGGCCAGTTCAGGACTGAACTAGGAGTGTGGTTAAGTCATTATGCTGGTGTCAGCCTGCGTGGGGCCAGTACTGACAGAGGGCTCCCCTCTGCCGTGTGAGTGGGGGTTACAGAGCTGCTTGCACAGCCCTCTCCCCAGTCTCCTTGGCTTGGCTCCAGCGGAGCTGAACAGCCCCAAGGGGTCCTAGCCATTATGGCATAATGCATACATGTGCTGTGCTGTGCTGAACTCAGCGAGATCTCTGCTGCTCTCCCGTCTCTGCTGACTGCCAAAGCCCAGCATCAAAGGCAGCACCCAGGTCTCTGATCCAGCCTCCCATACTGCCTGGTGGCAGGACAGAGACCAGGCTGCTGGATTCGAGACCTTTGCCAGTCAATTTGGGGATTTGAAATAATGATGAGTGTGAAACTGGCTTCTGGGTTGGTGTGGGGAGAGGCCCACTGAGAATCATAGAATATCAGGGTTGGGAGGGACCTCAGCAGGTCATCTAGCTCAACCCCCTGCACAAAGAAGGACCAGTCCCCAACTAAATCATCCCAGCCAGGGCTTTGTCAAACCTGACCTTAAAAACCTCTAAGGAAGGAGATTCCACCACCTCCCCAGGGAACCCATTACAGTGCTTCACCACCCTCCGAGTGAAAAAGTTTTTCCTAATATCCACCCTAAACCTTCCCCACTGCAACTTGAGACTATTACTTCTTGTTGTGTCATCAGGTACCACTGAGAACAGTCTAGATCCACCCTCTTTGGAACCCCTTTTCAGGTAGTTGAAAGCAGCTATCAAATCCCCCCTCATTCTTCTCTTCTGCAGACTCAACAATCCCAGTTCCCTCAGCCTCTCCTCATAAGTCATGTGCTCCAGACCCCTAATCATTTTTGTTGCCCTCCGCTGGACTCTTTCCAATTTTTCCATATCCTTCTTGTAGTGTGGGGCCCAAAACTGGACACACTATTCCAGATGAGGCCTCACCAATGTCGAATAGAGGGGAATGACCACGTCCCTCGATCTGCTGGCAATGCCCCTACTTATACAGCCCAAAATGCTGTTAGCCTTCTTGGCAACAAGGGCCCATTGTCGACTCATATCTAGCTTCTCGTCCACTGTAACCCCTAGGTCCTTTTCTGCAGAACTGCTGCCTAGCCATTCAGTTCCTAGTCTGTAGCAGTGCATGGGATTGTTCCTTCCGAAGTGCAGGACTCTGCACTTGTCCTTGTTGAACCTCATCAGGTTTCTTTTGGCCCAATCCTCTAATTTGTCTAGGTTTCTTTGTACACTGGACGGTAAGGATAGGATATCTACCACTCCTCCCAGTTTAGTATCATCTGCAAACTTGCCAAGGGTGCAGTTCACACCATCCTCCAGATCATTAATAAAGCTATTGAACAAAACCGGCTCCAGGACTAACCCTTGAGGCACTCCACTTGATACCGGCTGCCAAGTAGACATGGAGCCATTGATTACTACCCGTTGAGCCCGATGATCTAGACAGCTTTCTATCCACCTTATAGTCCATTCATCCAGCCCATACTTCTTTAACTTGCCGGCAAGAATATTGTGGGAGACCATATCAAAAGCTTTGCTAAAGTCAAGGAATAACACTGCTTTCCCCTCATCCACAGAACCAGTTATCTCGTCATAGAAGGCAATTAGGTTAGTCAGGCATGAGTTGCCCTTGGTGAATCCATGCTGACTGTTCCTGATCACTTTCCTCTCCTCTATCTGGGATCCTTCCCCATCCCTGGTCTGGTGGCATCTGTTGTGAACCCTGGATACTGAATAAATCCAAGAAAAAAAGGGGCCCACACAGAAAAGCTGTGACCCCAGGTGGTGCAGGGAGAGTCCAGGAGGCAGCTCTGGGCTTGTGTCCACGATTTGGAGTTCAAGGTGCAAACCTGCAGTACTGGAGAGGGGAGGGGATTGTGACCCTCCGCACATATTGGGCCAAATTCAGTCTTGCTGTAAGTGGGGACAGTTGCATGGACTCATAGACTCATAGACTTTAAGGTCAGAAGGGACCCTTATGATCATCTGGTCTGACCCCCTGCATGCTGCAGGCCATAAAACCGTCCCTACCCCTTCCTTGGACTCTGCTGTTGAAGTCCCCAATCCTGTTTTTAGTGACTTCCATCGGCAGAGACCCTCCTCCCAGAGGACCCTGCCCCCAGCCGCCGGAGAA